GTTTTTCCTTAGGCGAGGAAATACCAGCTCCTGTAAATAGATATTAGATAGAATATCTAATTGAGGTATGCACTGCGACCAGTAGATCTATTGTACATATACATATATGTATGCAAAAAAGAGCTGCGCGAATAATGATTCCCGCTCTTGTATGGCTACCCTAAGCCCTATATTTTGAATTCCGTGAGTTAGGGGCTCTTGTCGATTGATATATAGTACTCGTAGCTCGATACAAAGTGAATTTACGTTTCCGTTCATAAATTTGTATGAAATTAATTCAATGAAAATTCTCACGCAAAAATTTGGAACCAAATTGAGGGTAGCACAGTTAAATATCTTTTATTTCGAATGGCCGCTGTGGTATAGTGGTAAGCAGTGCGCGCTTTAACTAATCAGCACCTGGGTTCAAGCCCTGGTCAAAGCAACATCCCAAAAAATATAGAAAAAGGTTTTTTCTTAACAGCGCTCGTCCCTCGCCAGGCAATGGCAAACGTTCGAGTGTATTTCGGCCATGAATAACAGCTTCTCATAAAAATACAATCGCCGTTCGGAATCGGCGTGAAACTGTAGGTCCCTCCCCTTTGTGTGACAACATTAAGGCGCACGCCAAAAAAATGGAGAAGAAGCTCGGCCAAACACTAACGTATGTGTAAGCGCCAATTTATTATTTTAATTTAATAATTATTTTTATTATTTCGAAAAAGCCGCCGACCTACCTAGTAAAATCCATTCGGTTACGCTTAATTTAGCGGCGATTCTAGGTTAGGTCATTTAATTTAGTAATATGAAATTCAAGTTTTTATGCGGGACCCGTTTTTGAGCGATATTTTACAATTTTCGTTTGCTCTGAAAATTCGTGTTGGAGGGTTTATTGATGCGAGGAATCCAATTTGAATTTACTTTTGCAATCCGACAAATATTTAGTTCAGCTTTAATACAAAAAAGCAACCAAAAATGATCGAAACGGGCAAAATTTTTTTATGGCAATGGCCCAATATTTGTTGGAAATACATTTTTTTTTTTTTAATTTTTATTTCTATTAAAATACAATCCTAAAAATTTCATCGTAACCAGAGAAGAAAAAATATACCACGCATAAAAATTGTTTCGATTTTCTGCAAAAACTCCGAAATTTTGTACGCTAATCACGCCTACAGTGACGGGCAAAACTGTAATATGGTTTTTACTTCAGCCATCGCTATCTAAAAAATTGTTTTGAATTTCAATAATTAAAAATGAAAAATATTTATAAATATGTGTATTTGGTTATACCTATTCTTTGGTCATTTCTACCAGTTTTATTGCTGCACCAGAGGCTCATATTTTGTAGTTAGTTTGTTTTTCCACTACAACTACAAAATATGAGCAAAACTGGTAGAAATGACCAAAGAATAGGTATAACCAAATACACATATTCACAAATTTTGTTCATTTTTATTTATTGAAATTCAAAACAATTTTTTAGTCCAAGACCTCAAAAAAATTGGACTGATTTTCAAAAAACATCGCTACACTGCCCATCGTCAAGCTAACACTTTAAATATTGTAACTAAATGTACTAGCTCAGCGCTTCCGTATGCTTTTTATTCATGCTGCTGCACATTTGTGTTCGTTATATAGGCTTTTGCTGAGGTGATAGCGGTATAACCATCGTCTGGTAAAAAATCTCTACCAAGTACTTACACTACATAGTACTTTTATCGGAAATCAATGAGAAGAAGAATTGCCTCCGTGACCCTTCTCTGTGCCTTTTGTAGTTGCAAAATTTTCAATTTTGATATACTGCTCGCTTAGGAAACAACAAAGTCAGTGTTTTTTTTTCTCTGCCGTCCTACTAGTTAGTTACAATAAAGAACATAGAAAACTAAGAACTGGCTGCCTTCCAGCAACCAGCCGAGTGGTCAGTCACAAGTCGGCAAGCTTTTTTTTACTAGTGAAAGTGTTATAAAAGCAGAGATTTTTAGTGAAAATTATAAAACAATGACATTATATTTCTTACATTTTTCTATAAAAAAAATAAATCACTCCTACTAAGTCTGCAAGAAAAACGGAAATGAAATCATTGTCTACATTTTGTCATAAAACAAAAAAGGCAATGTCATTTAAAACAGCTACGAACATACGTACATATTCATGTTTATATGCACATACATATCCATACCCTGGTACGTATTCTCATAAAAAAAGACACACCAAACTAGCGCTACAAAACGTTATAGTGTCACGCACCGCTTGCTCGCTGCAAGTGGATATCGAGCTGCAAGGTTATGCGTTGGCAGTAAGTACTATCTACAGTTAAAACAAACACAAACAGAGACAGCAATGCGGCAGTAACTAGCTTCAATAGCATCAGCTGATAGCCACCGTCTCAATTGTCTGCCAGCTGTCTGTTTGTCTGTTGGACGTCTGGTCAGCGACGCGTTCGCTGCTTAAGTCTTTTGTTCCTGCTGCACTCGCGCGAAGGTTAGGCGACGAACTTTATTAAAGTGAGATCATCGGTGTGGGGAGGGAATGAAAAGCACAAAATAAAAATAAAATAAAATAAAAATTAAAAAAAAATGTGCAGCTAAAATATGCATCCGCTTCGTAGATATGCATGTATTTGGCAAACCAGTTTTAATGATGCTTCTATTTAATTTAAATTAATTGCTAAAAAGGGTGTAAATAACAGTAAACGTCTAAATTCGATACAGCAGCAGGCAGCTATGAAATTAAAGCTTTTCATTTAAGCAATCGCTGGTTTTTGTACACCTGCTAATGTATTACTTACATATATAGCTAATTGCTTACCACAAACAGTATTAGCCATTTGTGGCTGCGCGCTTGGTGGCTTTCTTCATTCAGTACGTGGTAGAAATTTTTAAGTTTTACCATTGCAGATTTTTAATTTAAGATTCAATTGGCAAACTTACAATTAGTTATAGCTGGAAGTGGCTTTCTAAAATTACTTATTTTGCAGTTAGCCACAAATGCATGTATAGAGTATTGAATACTTACTACGTATGTATATGTAGGTCTCTAGCTCCTCGCTGGTGAAGTAATGAGCCATTTAAAGCCGCATAAATTGGGAGGCGTTGCAATCGAAGTGAAATTACATATGTTTGATGAGGCTGTTGCACACTCATTGTTTATTTTGTTTTTGTTGCCTTGCTGTTGATTTGTTTTTGCATTTCATTTAATATATGTACATGTATGGCAGCTCGCTTAATATGTACATATGTATGTGGTAAAGCGGCGTGCACGTGCTTGGCGAAACTATTAAAACACTTTTTTCTTTAAAAAATGAGTCGGCGCTTTGTGTGTGACATTTGATATGTGAGTCATCTGGTATATATCATGTCGGTGCGCCTGTTTTGAAATTTAACTTCATCGGTTAAGTGCTAAATGCCACACTACATTTTAAACTAGAAGGGGCTTGATTTTAATATTTTTATTTAGTTTTATTTTTTTTTAGTTATATTCATTTAGTTTTATTTTAGTTAATTTTATAAAATTTTTTATTTCATTCTTTTATTTTACTACTTTCTATTCTATTTTAAGCTTTTTATTTAATTTGGTTTTTTTTTGGTTATTTTAGTTTTATTTAGCTAAATTAATTTTTTCATTTTATTTTATTAATTCAGTTATTTTATCTTATTTTATTCCTTTCTTTGTTGTTTTTATTGTATTACTTTATTTTATTCATTTTGTTGGTTATTAATTGGTTTTTATTTTTTTTAATTATGCCTTTTTTATATTATGAACTTAATTAAATTTTTTATTTTAATACTTTATTATTATATTATTTAGTTTTATATTATATTATTTTATTCTGTTTTCATTTTCTATTTTTACATTTTTTAAATTTAGTTAAATTTAATTTGATTTTATTTTATAAAATTTTTCTATTTTTATTTTATTTTGTTTTTATGTATTTATTTATGCAGAACACTCTTTTATGAAATCTTTGTATTTGTATTTTACTTTTTTATCATTCTTTGTTTTGTTCTATTTATTATTAACCGACTTCCAAAAAAGTAGGAGGTTATCAGTTAGTCGGAATATTTTTTTTTTTATTTTATCTTTATTTTATTCATTAAATAATTTTAATTGAGCTTGAGGCCGTTTTTATTTAGTTTTATTTCATTTCCTTTTTCATTATTTTATTTTATGTTTTCTTTTATTTCATACTTTAAATTTCTTAAATTTTAATCAGTATATTTTTGAATTTTTTTTGCTCCGTTTTATTTTGATTTGTATTTTTTTATTCGCTTTTTGGTTTTCTTTTATTTTATTTAATTTTCATTTTATTTTATTTCACTATGTTTTTTTTTACATTTATCTGCTTTATCTTACATTATTTTCGTTTTGATGTATTTGATTTTCTTTTCTTTTGATTTAGTTTATTCTTTTTCACCTTATTTTACTATTTTTTAATTTAATATTTTTTTTTTTTTTTTGTATATAGTTATTGTTTTCTCCTAGTTAGTTTTATTTTGTTTGTCTTATGCCTGGTTTCACTCGAGTTCAGTTTAAAATTTATCAGTCTCTTAATATTTAAAATTACACAATTTTGTTCGAAAAATTTTTAATTTTAAGTTGTAACAGCCTATCGATAACTGTTTGGGGAAACTGGGGATTAATAACACTATTTTTATTTAATTCAAATATATTTTTTAAAATATTTATTTTTTAATTTTTTGATTTAAATTATTTCCAATTAATTTTCCAAAATTTTTTGCTCTATTAAGATTTTTAGTTTTTTGTATGTAATTTATTTATTTTTTTTTTGAATTTAAGCAATTTTTATTTGATTGTTTTACTTAATTAGTAAATTTTTTTTATTTTTTTACATGTATGTCTGTATATCAATCGATCTTATTTTTGTATTTTTTACTTTATTTCATTTTATTTTTATTTTACTTTGTATTCTATATTTTTTCCAAAAAAGTTGTTTAATATAATTAATATTTTGCCACATTTTTTCTAATTTTTCATATTATTTATTTTTACCCTTTCAGCGTCTTCTTCCCAGTAATCAACTTTAAAAGTGTTTATTAAAGAAAAAAAAAACATATTAAAAATAATTAAACTGGCTGCAAATCGCATAAATCAGACGGCGTGAAGTGGTTAAAGCATCGCAAAATGAGCGGTTCAACGGCGGCCAGTTTAAAATGGCTGTCCGCTATTTATTTTCTGGTTTTATTAGTCATTACCTCGAAAACAACGAAAACATATGCAGCTATTGAAGAGGGATTCTCGTGTCCAAATGGTGAGTACAGTATGCAAAATTGCTCCGCAGATAATAATATTTAGTTGATGGGCTACTTTTATGATTATTTATTTATTATGATTAAACTACACTAGATTAGATAAGTTATACTAAGAAAAAAGGGCTTAGTGCGTTGAGCCTTACACTTGACCAATCTGTATTCACATACTACCATCGCAGAGCCAACGCTGCGTAGTTGGCCACATGAGTTAGGTTTGACCTGATTAATAACCAGTTGAGAGCACTGGCCTTCCCTACGACATTTAAGTATAAGGTCCACTTGCATATCATCCCTCAGCCTTGATGATTCCTTCTATCTCTCAGGACAGAAACATAACACTAGAGTATTATATCTTATACTTATCCTTAGTTCATATTGCTATGCCTGGTATGTCCATGGTGACTGACATATCACCTCTGAGGCCCCTTCTCCACCGAAGAAGGCTTATGTGGCTTATGTTTACGACAGTTCTTAAAGTTATGTCACTAATGTAATGTAAAGTTACATAAATGTAGCCTCCTCGTCACCGCTTTCCTACGCTTCTAAATTTTCTCTAATGGAATGCGTAACAACACAAATAAGGCTAAAAGAATTGCCTGTCGGTGGTTCTTCTTATTTAGCTGGTTAATGACTTTCTATATTAAGCATAACTATAACTTCAGAATTACCTCACTGGGCTCAATATCTATACTCGCAAGTAAGTCTGTGTGTGTGTAACTTACACCAAAGCCTGATTGAGTGACGGAGTGAATGATGGCAAGTCAAAATAAGGCGATGCGGCTTTGGTGGTTATACGTACGACGTACGTATACATATGTACTTACATATATAGTAAGCACAAAATTCTGTAAGTTTGTGTTTACATGCAGAGTTACAGTTACATGTATGTATATGGCTACGTAAGTTTAATATATACATTAGGGCGATCCTAAAAAAAAAATCAAATGAACGATTTTTTTCAGTTCCACCCCCTCAATCGGTAAAACCACGGTCACAGATATCACATATAAATTTTGTTCCCGATTGGAGCCGGTTAAGACGTGTGGCAAAAGGGTCAAATGGACTTAAAAAATTAAAAATTTTTTTTTTTCATAAGTAATCTGAACTTTGACCCCTGTGTGACACGCCATAACCGACTTCAATCGGGACCAAAATTTATATGTGATATCTTCGACTATAGTAGCACTGACGTATGGGGTTGAGGCTTACGAAGTACTATGTAAAAATTTGCTTTCCAGATTTAAGGACCACCCTAATATACATACAAACTCATGCGTGTACATATGTACATACATATGTGCTATAGAATGCACCAGTTATATGAAGCCGCTGGCCATTCCGCTGTAGAATCACATGTGGGGAGGTATAGCATGTAGCTTGATCTGTATATGTAAAGATATATGTACATACGTATGGGTTTGTGCCAGTGTGCCTCTACATACATACTTACATATATTCATATGCCGTAACTTAATGTAAATGCAAGCTTCTGTTGCAAGCGAGGCGGCGGGCATGTTGCTTGCTATCGAAACACTTGTTCGATTGCTAAAGACTCCCAACCACCACCACTACCACCACCACCACCACCACCACCACTACCACCAGTATTAACAGCACAACTAACAACACTACCAACAACACCACCGCCAATGGCAACATGTTGCTAGCGGCGTGAATAGATAACAACAAGTACAAGTGCTGCTAGAAATGCGGGCATAGTGGAGCTGGTTTTGTAGAATCAACATCGATCAGCCGTCAAAAACAACAACTATGTATGTATGTATGTATGTATGTATGTATTTATTAGTACTCGTATGTAACTGCCTCCAACGGCGTGCTGTGCTAGAGAAATGAAGTCAGCAAGAAGGCAAACTGTAAAGCCAGAAACTGCAAACTAGAATTTTTAACGGTAATTTTTAAACACGATAAAAAGTATGCGCTCATCGTATATGGAGTTAGTTAAGTGAAAGAGTAAAAACGAAAAAACAAGTGCACAGAATAAGAACAAGCATAACTACTATAAATAAGGTGCATTGTAGGAATACCAGTGCGACTGGCTAGCTGTCATGTGCAGTGAGTTACCAGATATGCATATGTATGCACACTAGGCTGGCGCACGAACAAAAATAACCTCTGGCTCAGTTGAATAAATAAATTGAGTAATTTTTTTTTAATATCTCAAAATATTTTGCCTCAATTTTGCGGCATTCGTAGCCTCTTAAAAAAAATCCTTTTAATTAATGCCTTAAAGTAAGAAATGGACTACGGTGCCACACATCTCTAGTTGAGATGAAATAAAAAAATTGAGTATTTTTTCTAGACTATCTCAAAATACTTTGCCTCAATGTAGCACATTCGTAGCCTTCCTTTAACTTAATGCCTTAAAGTGAGAGGTTACTTAAAACTGGACATAAGTTTTACGTCACTTAAAAGCTGGACATAAATCTTTAGGTTATTGAAAACTGGATATACTTTTTGGGTTATTGAAAACTGGACATAATTTACTTTTTTGGAAACTGGACTTAATTTTTGGTATTTTAAAAACTGAACATAATTTTTTGGCACTGGACTTAAAGTTTCCGTGCTTTTAGGACTGGAATAAAATTTTGAGCTATTTGTAAACTGGACACAAATATAAAGTGATAGTTATTTAAAAATTGGACATTTTCTAATACTGAAAAATAACATATAAATTCGTTGTTTTAACGACGGTACTTTACAACGTAGACATATTTTTTTGGTAGTGCAATTGGACGTACATAAATTTGTAGCTTTCGAGAAACTGGTTATAAAGTTTGGTCGACTGGACATGAGTTGTTATTTGTTTAAAAACTTGCAAAAATTTAGTTTTAACCGAATCATATAAAGAACGAAAATAAATTTTTGGTCATAAAAAATTCGACATAAATTTTTGGTCATACAAAATTGGACATAGTATTGTTGCCATTAAAAACCGAATACGGAGCTTCATTAGCTTAAAACTTCACTCAATTTCAAGTTTTTGTAAAAGTGGAAATACATTTTTGTAAATATTATAATAGACAGTATTTGGATTTTTTTCACAACTTTCATGATTTGCGTGTGGTTCCCCCACACAACTTTCCCAAATCTTTTAGCTGATACATAGATATGTAAAGTTAATAATTGCCATTTAATAACTGGACATGGATGTATGGTAATTTAAAAACTTGAAAAAAAAATTTTAACTGGATAATTAATGTAAAGAACGAACATAAATTTTGGTTTATAACTGACTTTATGGTCATTATGACCAAGAGTTGTATATTTTTTTTTTTTTGTCAAAAAAATGTACATATTTTTTTGGCAATAAAAACTGGACATGAAAGTGGACATAAATTTTTGTAAAATTAAATATTGCCAGTATTTGTAATTTTTCACAAATTTCATGATTTTCATGCAGGAGAAAGCACATTTTTTGTTTGATATACATATAGAAAAGTATGTAAATTTAATAACTGCCATTTAATAAATGGACATAAGTATATGGTAATTTAAAAACTTGACTTAAGTTTTTTAACCGGATGGTTTAAGGAACGAAAATAAATTTTGGTTGAAAACCGAACACATGTTTTTGGTCATAAAAAGTTGGACATAAATTTTTGGTCATAAAAATTAGACATAATTTCTTTGCCAATAAAAACTGAACATGAATATTTAGTAGCTCAAAACTTCTCGTAATTTTTTTGTGGACAATCATTTTTGAAAAATTAAAAATTAGCATTATTTGGAATTTTTTCCATAAATTTTATGATTTTCGTGTGGGGCAGCACACATTTTTTAGCTGATACATGTTTACATACATATGTAGATATGTAAATACATGCAAGAAAGTTGCCACCTTTTATATGTTTTAGTTGTTTTGTGAATTTATGTATTTTTTTACTAAGCGAGCAACTTAAATTTTGCAATTAATTTTCTCAACTTGTTGTTGTAAAAACTAGCTTCTTCAAGTTGTTCGAAGTTGGCTAAAACTTTGAAGGAGAAACATGTATGTATTCGTGTGCTCATTTCTCATAGGCATTTCAAAAAAAGGCTTACAAATATAAATTTTGTGTTATTTTAAAGGTAGCTTGATGGTTTACACTTATACATTTGCAACTATTAAAAAATGATTGCAAATATTTATTTGCCACATATTATTTGTTGCAACAACAGCTGCCATTGCATGCCGAAGCCGGCGCTGCGCTTTAACCGGCGCGTTCTTTTATTAGCTGATGGCGCCATTGCTGTAATAATTTGCAAGTAAATTTGTGCAGATGCACACTTACTTAAATACTTACACTTATGCCAGTATGTATATGACTACAGGCTTGCCCACCTGCATATTTTCACACACACACGCACACTACGTATAATTGAAAGAAGATGTTGCCACAAATTGAGTTGGTGGCTTGAGTTGGTGGCTTGAGTTGGTTGGTTGGGTGCGACTGCGACTGCGACTGCGACTGAGCCTGCTGCTTCTTCACTTTAAACTACAGCTACTTGCATACAAGTATATAAATATGTAGGTGCAGCCATAGCATTTTTTTTTTGTTGTTTCTTTGGTTATTAAAGCGCCTGCTACTCATTGCTGTTGCTACATTGCTTAGTTACTTATTACCCGGTTGACGATTCTTCAGCTGATAACATTGATTTGTTGTTGATAGCGAGTGTGGTAGCTTCTACATATACTAGGCGAGTGTGGTGAAGAATACATTTTTATCTCTTCTGTTTTTTATTTGTTTTTTTTTTTTTTTTTTTTTTTTTGTGGCGCAAATGTAGGTCAAACTGTGAAACTTGGTGCAACCGTTGAAGTTCAGTTATTGCATGAGGCTAGGCAAACTGTGATCACACCGCGCGCTGGTGCATAAGTTTATATGTATGTAGAGTATAACTACACTGAGACGTTCCAGCCGCTGCCACATACCACATAAATACCTACTTCACTATTCTTGCAGCAGTCACGGTTAGCTGGCATAGCTTCTGGTAAATTTTGTTT